CGCGGCCCCGCACCGGCAGCTCCGCGAGCTCCATCCCGCGGGGCGCGGCGCGGGGAGGCGGCGGGGCCGCGGCTGATTGCTCCCCGTTTTCCTTAGAAAGCAGCTCGGATGGCGGTGGCGACTGGCCCGGAGCGGGGCCGCAGCCCTTCCCTGCTCCCGGTTACCTGTTGTGGGAGCCCCACGCCACTGGGTGGATCTCTCCCGTGGGGTCTCCGGCCAGCCAAACACAAGCTGGTTTGTTTGTCTGTCCCACTTTCGGCTGCTCACTACTTCAAAGTCCAGTGACTGTAGCCTCAGTGGTAGTAAAGGTAATGTGTAGGTTCAAAAGTTTATGAACAGATTTAGCATAACACAAAGTTATTATGACAGAGCTGGAAGTAGATCCCAGATTTCCTGGCTCTTTTATGCGGATTCTACCATTTTCCATCCCTTGTTTTTCCTTTAGTAACCTGGAATTGAACTTTACTTGGGTTTGTTGTGTTATATCCAAAGCCTCCCTGTCACAGAGATTACTGAAGAGAAAACTTGAGTTGGCTCCTTTTGACACTTTTTTCTTGAACATTTGTGTTACATCTGTTATCTGAGGTGAAGCCTAATGATTCATTTTACTGAATTTCCTCTTTTCCTCTTTCAGCCGAGTGGTTTTACCTTGCTCAGTGCAAGAGGTATGTCCTGATCCTCCCTGCTTTATTCAGACTGAGGGGTGGGAGGGGATTGTGTGTTAGAAATGTGACCAGCCTGAGTCCAGACGTTCCCTGTGCTGTTGCTGCACTGACAGAGATGAGTGACGCAGGTGTGACCCTGTTCTGATCAAAGAATTTCCAAGGAAGCAAATGCAGCACAGAGCATTCCACTGCCAGCAATACAGCTGTGCCCTGTGGCAGCACTTTGCTGCTGATCCAGCACTGAGGGACTCCAAGCCTTTTCCTGGAGCCACAGGTGTAGGAATTGTCTTCCCAGATCTGAAGTCAACAATTTGAATGGCACTGCAGTACGTTTCAGTGGGAGTCACGATAGGATGTCTGTCATGCCAGGGTGTTGGTCGTGCTTCTGATGGAAACATTACACTTGTTCCATAGTGTGGGTTCCTGGGTCCTGTAAGGGCAGCACTGAATTGGTTGAAAGTGTGAATTGGGAAGGCTTAGAGCTGGATATCGGTCACTCCAAAATCTGTAAACTCAGAATTGATATTTCTTGGTGCAGCAAAGAGCAACAAATACATTTAGCTCTTGGGATAGGAAAAATGAAGTTATGATGTGCACCAAAGTGTTGGGTTGCTGTGGAACAACCTCAGTGTAGACCTGGAGTTTGTGAGTTGCAGAGATGTGTTGCAAAAAAAGTTGTCAGAGTTCACTATATATCTTTTATGTGATGCATTTTACTTTGCTGATAACCTTTTTTGTACTACTGAATTGTCAGAGGAAACAGCTAATTGTTTTTAACATGTTAAAAGTTTTGGCCAACTTTGGTGCTAACATTTGTCTTCTCCCTTTTCAGTATCAAGTTGGGCAACTTTATTCTGTGGCAGAAGCTAGCAAAAACGAAACAGGAGGTGGGGAAGGAATTCAGGTCTTAAAAAATGAGCCTTATGAACAGGATGGCGAGAAGGGACAATACACTCACAAAATCTATCATTTAAAGAGGTGAGAAAAGCCTTGATGCACGTTGTAGTCCCTTGGTATTAAGCAAGAAATGTTTAAAGGTGAGGGTAGCCTTCCATTGTTTGCTGTTCTTGGACACTTGTTTGTGTTTTCCTGCCACTTTGTAATTTGCTGAATTGTTCATGGGTGCTCTGGTGAGTGAGGAAATGTGAAATACAGTGGATTTTAAATATGTGGGATAGTTGTCTGAGACAGCTGAGAGAATTGTGTTTGCTTGCTCTAGACAGGAGTCAGAGATGAGTGGGACATAAAGTTCCTGCTGCAGGTCAGGAGCTGCTTGCCAAGGAGCTGGAGGTGAGGGCTCTGTGCAGTGCTCTTCCTCAACAGGTGTCTTTGCTGCTCTGCAAGAGCAAGGATAGCACAGCTTTCCTTGTGATCACACAGCTCATTTACCTTATTATTACCTTTCCTGTTTATTTCTTAATCTTGTCATGGTCTGGAAAGTCTTTGAAGTTCCTTTGTATTTCACTGGAGGTGACAAGGTACCTCATAACCCCTCAAATGCTTGGGTAGAATGTGCCCTTCTTATTGGAGTGGAAAGAACCAATGAGGAATTTCAGCTGGTGGGATTTTAAACACATTGTCCATCTTTGTTTCCCCAGTAAAGTCCCTGGGTTTGTAAGGATGATTGCTCCAGAAGGCTCCCTGGTGTTCCACGAGAAGGCCTGGAATGCATATCCCTACTGTAGAACAAGTGAGTCTCCCCCATGTGTGTTCTTTTGTTGGTGCTTTTATATGTGAGACCTTTCAGAAACAATTGTATCTAATAATGCTCTGTGTTTTCTTTTCCTTTGCATTGCACTGCATTGTGTTTTCCAACGACACCAGTTGTGACAGTGAGTATTTGAAATCCTACCAGTGATATATTGGGGTTTTTTGGGATATATTTTGTCTGGTTACAACCACTACAATTGTCTGGCTCCAGCCTGTCATAATGTGCCTTGCTAGGACTCCTGGTGCAGAGCTCCCTGTTACTTTATTTGTCTGCTCATGGCTATAATTAGAACTGTAATTTGTCAGAGAAATTATTTCATTTTCTACGTCTTCTTTTATGCCTTTAATTACCATTACAGATGCATAATGTCTGTCCTTGTAAGACATAATGCTAAAAAAAGTGGGAGGGAAAAAATGACATATCAGAGGCTCCTACACTCCTGAAGGCAGGAAGTGCAGTGAAATGGCATCAGTCCCTGCCTGTCTGAAATGCTGTTGCTATAAAATGAATTCCTGCCTCAGTTAAAATGGGGTAACTGGGAATCTAAATGGATCAGCTCAGGATTTGGGTTTGTTTCTTTATGATGCATGGGAGGCACATCATTAAGATTTTAATGCTGTTTTACATGTTTTGGTGACCTGCATAATGAAAACTTATTAGTTAAATGTTAAACTGCTTTATCTGCTCACTTGCAAACACTGTTTAGATTGTTACCATGTGGATGTGACACAAGGAGTAACAAGTGAGTTTGAACTGTTGAGCTTGACTCATCCTGATATCAGTGCACACAGGTGTGTGCCCTCTGACTTCTGGAATCAGCAGGGTTCTCTCATGGTCTTTAGATGTACAATTTGGTGGCAGCTGGACCATTATGATCCAGCTTTATGATTGTAATTGTACTGTACAGTAACATCTAACTGCAGGACTAATAATTTGAAAAATTACTTGAACATTGAGGTAAAGAACTTCAGGGCTGAGGAAGCAGGACAGCAAATGGCAGGGTTATTTCTACTGGTGTGCACAGGTAGAGCTGGATTTCTTAAACATGTCTGGTTTTAATTTGGTACTCACTGCTCTAGTTCATGATTATCAAGATTATCATGTACCTATCTCTGTAAGGTAAGAGGGCTGTTTCTCTGGAAATCTCAATAGGTTGTATTGCTAGTCAGGGATTAGTAGTGGTATCTAAACTTAGAGCAGAGAGGTGTAATTGTGCTTCTTGCTTTTAATTCTTACAGAATGAATACATGAAAGATGACTTCTTCATAAAAATTGAGACCTGGCATAAACCAGATTTGGGAACAACAGAGAACGTGAGTTGGGGTTTGGATACCAAGCCTTAGTGCAATTGTACAATCAGTACAGATAAAGTATTTTATACCTGGTGGTGGTGGATAATTACTGCATAAAGCAAATGTCTTACCAATGAGTAAAGCAAGAAAAGCATTTTTCAGGTCTTTGCAAGGTGGTCAAGCTGTCTCATCTGAGGAGATCCAAGGACAGGAGGAGTTTGGTTTTTATGTTTAGAGATGCTTTTCAGCAAATCATTTTTTTATTTCATGTTGTTTCACCGTGGACATTCTACTGAGAGTTAGGCTGACAAATGTATTTGAAAACAGGTTTCACAAGACCACTGGAGTTAATCTGTGAACACTCTGTAGTTACATATTGAAGCTGCCTCCGTAAATTGTCCCAACTACTGATGTTCTTGTTTTGCTCCAGACAGTCAATTTGGTTCATGTGTCACTTCAGGAAGATTTTGATCTGTAGTGATAAACATTTATAAACCATCCAGAGAGGTGCAGTTGTCAGTCTGTTGCCAGTGCTTGGGTGAGCTGTAGCTCTGGATGTGCTACACAAAAGGGAGATTGTTCTTGGGCAGCTCTGCTGGCTGTAACTGGGTTTAGATGTGCTGGACAGATCACAGGTGAGGAGTTGATTCCATCCTCAGACCTTTGCACACCCTCAGACTACACCTGGTCCACCTTCAAGGCAGTCCTATGATTCAGGGAGCCTATGAGATCAGTTAGGTTACTGAAATCTGTGTTTTCCGTATCTGTAATTTTTACACCTTCTTTCTAGCTTGAAAAGTTAATGCAGATTATGGAATAGGTAATGGTTCTAATTAGAGCTTGATTTCATTAGTGCTAACAAATGTGACAGATGAATACTGCCTAATCTTAAATCCAGGTTTCCTGAATGCACAAGAAGTGAAGGCTTTGTGCTGGTTTAAAATTGATTAGTGAGTGATTTAAACTCTAATTGTGGAGATTGTTCCCCTTGAGAAGGGGTAGGTTTGGAGAATGCTGCCTTTACAGCATCCTGAAAAGCTCCCTGTCACACACATGTGCTGCACGTGCACATCACTGTGTGATTCCCAGCATGGCAATAATTCCTCCTCCTTGTTTGTTTTTTGCAGGTTCACAATTTAGATCCAAACACATGGAAGAGTGTTGAGGTTGTCCATATTGACATTGCAGATAGAACTCAAGTAGAACCAGGAGTAAGTAAATGTTCTGCTGTTGGGTCTGGGGTGTAGCATGCAGCTGATTCCACTTGTGCTTTGTGTTGATAGTGAATGAGCTAAAACGCAGTGGATTTCACCCAACAGAGACATGAAAAGTGTCTTGAACAGAATCATTCATTTGTGTGCCTGCCTTACTTCTTTGGTTTTACTGCTGATTCTCTCTGTAGATCTGGGGCTGCTGGGGCTGTTGTCTGGTTTGTTAAATTGTAACAGCTGGACTATTGGATGTGTAATACATTTTAGACCGTAGGGAGATGGTAGGCACTCATACGGAGACTGTGTTTGCACAATAAATGTGATTGTCAGACTCTTTATACTGTTTAACTGTTGCTTTCTGAAAGTAGATACTTGGATATCCTACATTTTGGGGAGAGGACTTCTTTGCAGGAAGTCCTTGGAACTATTTTCAGTACATTATCCTCTTTTCTTTCTTCTTTCACATATTTGACCTACAGAGTATCAAAACTGAGTGCAGAATAGTCTCATCCAGAGTCTCAAGTCTCCTCTGATGTTTCCTTTTCATTAGCTTCTAACACCATTTCCAGTTTTAGCAAATACTTTGAGCAAGTATTTTCAGATTTAAAATCACAGTATACCCCATTCTTGTGTAGGAATGCTTTGGATTAATTTTCACCATGTGATTCAAATTTTTATTTCCATTACATCTCCCAGAAACTCTGTTTTGCTAAGTCCTGACTTCATTAATCAAAGTCTGGCTTTGTGATTAAACTCTTAGCAGACACTGGTAACTCTGAGCTACTTGCAGACTGACATCCTTGCTGTTTACCTGTTTTCTCCTTAAAATTAGACATCAGGAATTCTCTGGACCGACACTTGGAGTCTCTTCTGATACAAAAGTCTGCAATTTCTGACCTTTGTCTTCTCTCTCTTCACTTCTTAGGAATTCAGGAGAGACACTTTCTATTTGTGCTGATATCTTTATCAAGTTTAGGTAATGGAACTTGAATTTTATTTCTTTTTCTTGGAAGTTCAGCTACATCATAACAAAATGCCAAGACTGACATGCTGGCTTTGTGCCTTCAGAGAAGGCTGCTGGTCTTGGAAAGCAAATGTCCCCAACAAAAGCATCACCTGTTTTCCCTGTGTTCTATTTGTCCAGATGTTCTTTTCCTGCAGTTTCTTTATCTTTGTTCTGTGATATTCAAGCAATCACCAGTTCACTCTGTGGGGTCATGTTTGAAATCATGTGCTTTGTATAATTTTGGAATTTTTTTTTGTTATGATGCTTTTTTGGGAATTATCATTCTAAGTGGCTGGGTGACATTTTTTGGTCTGCTTCATTTTTTAGTGAAAAGGAATAGTCAGTGTTTTCAAAGGAGAGTTTTATTTGTACATTTATCTTCTCAAACATAGTTTTACCTGGAAAAGCAGCTCAAATGTATGAGCTCAGGTAACAGTAGAGCTGAAAGAATGGTGCTACATCTATAAAATCCAGCAGTGTTGAAAAAGTTTTCATGTATTCAAGTTACATCCTTTTGTTCTTGTGAATGAACCTTGTCCACCCCCCTGTGGGGTTGTAGTTACTTTAGTTTCAGAGCTACAATCAGCATAAATATGAAAATACAAATTTCTTTAAGCTACTGATGGTGTGCATGTGCTGACTCGTGCTCATTTAAGTATGTATAGAAATAGTTTGGGTGACAGCTGTGACTTCCTTTAGATACACATTTAACTTTGCTTTCTCTTAATCATCTCCAGCATGCAGTCTGTCACTTTATGTTGTTTGTATATAAAAGTGGCTTCCCAGGAGAGGAAGACTTTTTAAAGTGTAAGCAAAAATGAACACTTGATTAACATCAGAGGAGGCTGTGGTTTTGGAAACAATTTGCAAAAGAGTAGAATGTAGTGAAAACAAATTGAAATCAGGTTTATAGCTATTTTTCACAATGAAAACATTAAATGTCTTGTTTAGGTCATAGTGGATCTTTATTACTTGAAAGAAAGTTCTAAAATTACAATTTTATATGAATCAGCCAGATTGCACATGCCTCAAGAGTTCCGGGACTTCTGTGTACTGTCCATTTTTTTACAGTGTGAGGAAATATATTGGAATATAGGAATTGCTCTTCTGTAGTCTGTAAGGAAGTGTTAAAAGATTCTCAAGTTACAGAGCTTGATAGGTGGATCTCTCCCATTTCAGACTTAATTTATCACTATAGGCAGCTAAACAGCTCCACCTTTTTAGTGCTGAACCTTGGAATCACCATGCAATGACACATCCCATGGGACAGCCTATCTGTGGATAAATGTGATGTGCTTTTAATTTTATGCCCCTCTTTTCCTCCTGTCCTGGGTGTTTATAAATATTCATCTCTTCCAGCCTCATTCCTGGAGACCTTTAACTCCCCGTTCTGGGCATGACAGCACGATGTGCATCCCTGATAACCAGGCTGGTTTCATTCTCATTTGAACCTTGGCATTCTTTCAAAGGTGATCTCAGGCAGTGGTTCCCCTGATAGTGGTTCTGTAGCTGCAGGACTCTTCGGGAGATGGGAGTGATTGCAAGACATTTTTTATTAAAAGCCATTTAGCTAAACCTTCCTTAAACACACAAGTGCATGTCAGGGCAGTGCATGGTGGTGCTGGTGACTCAGTTATGGGAATCTTGCACTGAGTTGAGAGTATGACATACTTGGATAAACCTGATTTTAGTCTTCTGTTGTGCTGTCAGTGAGCACTCACAGAGCTGTGGGTGATGTTGGAGGGAAGTACTGGTAGGTGTTTCTTGCCACAGGATATGAATGTGAGTTTTTTGCTCGGTAACACCAGTGGTATGTACATTCTCTTGCTTAAAACAAGAGAGTAATACAGTATTGAATAAAACAAGAGACTAATACAGTATTGAGCTGGAAAGCCAGAATTAGTGCCCACCTACCTAGTTAGTGTGATGCCACTCCATGTTTAGTTCCATTTTCATGGGTTTGCAGATCAGGCATCAGACTTGTGTAATTTTCATGTTAGGTTCTAAAAGTTTTCTCAAAATCATTCTGTCCTATATATATGCTTTGAATCTTTATACCATTTGATAGTGAATCATGAGCTCTCAGGAGCACTGTTATATTATAAAGAAGTGCCCAGGTGCTGGGTTTGTTGTGATATTTATTGTGTGTAGTTCACGATCTCTGTAAATCATTCTTTATAATAGATGGTTGCATTCATGCATATTATATTGAGAATTTGAGCAAAAACTGCTTGTGAAATGGTATTTGTGTGTTTCTTTGAAATAGTTTTGCTCCTCTGTCTTGTTATGCTGCTGCAGGCTGATGTTTGCCTGTCTGGCTTTCCAGAGGGCTTCAGGGGTTTGAGCTGTAGTATTTGCTCCAGCAGCTGCCTGTTTTTCTTCCTAAGAAGGACTTGTTGTTGTCAGGAGTTAAGCTCTTGCTGCACAGATATTTTCCTTAAACTCTGCAAAGAACTGTTGTTTATTTGTACTTTGGCTCTAGTCCAGTCTTCTTCCCTGCATGCTTGTAGGATTTGTGTGTAGAGAAGAGTTCCTACAATGCTCTCCTGTCCATCTAGGCTTTAGTCTATAAAGAAATTTTTCCTGTCCTTAACAGGATTTGGCTTAACTGAGTTCTAAAAGGTCTTGGATCAAAGCTTCTGTCTCTAGCATAGAAAACTTTCCCATGACTCATGTATTTTCTTGGAATTTCTGTTTTCACTCCTACATTTTATTCGTGGATAACAGATTCTTCCCCAGTGTTTCTAGCTGTGGTTATTTTTATGTGGGTCCTAAATGCAAGAGCACAGTTGCTTTTTACCAGTGTCCCTGTGCAGTGGGAGGTAGGATGGCTGGTAGCATCATTGTGGGGACTTGAGTGTCCCTGGGCTATCCAGACAAATCATTCCACTCCATAAACCAGGCAGATCAAGGCTGCACATGTAGCTCAGGTTAAATGCCTCATGCCTCACACCACTACAGTGAGCTCTGCCTTGGCAGGATGTTCACACAGTGGAAATAAATTCAGGGTTGTCTCAGTGCAGTACCTGGTTTTATTTATAAAATTGGCAATAAGATGTGGAATTCTTGTGTTTCTGTTTGGCACGTTGCTGACCCAAACCAGCAGCAGTTCTGCCAACAATTAGTTATATAGAGCAAAATTGTTTATCCATTGCTATAGCTTGATTCACTTCAGTGTCTTCTATCCAGTGGCTGAGTGAAATTTTTAAAAGGCAGTCATCATCAGTAATTTAAAATATTCTCTGTATTTCTGTAAAAACATTTTGCTGTAGTATTTGCATAGGTATCTTAAAGGTGATTTAAATGTAAAGAAGATGACTGTTTTTCCACACAAGGATTGTTAAAAAATAATTTTTTAAAAGTGTATCACATTGAGCCTTCAGGACAATGCAGAACCTGAGGATTCCAGTGGGTTGCAGCTGTCCTCTCCCACAGTGTTTGGAAATAACTTGTGAGGTGAGAAGTTGGTCTCAGACACAGCCAGTGGCTCTGGCTCAGTGCTCAGTGAGGGAAGGGACAGGAGGGGACTCAGGGCTGGATTTTGTGTGCTGCTATGTATTTGCTCTTTGTGATATCTGTGGAAAGGACACGTGCTTTATTACAGTAAAATCGTAGATAAGTGGGTTTCATTAAAATTCAGGTGACAGATATGGCTTGCAGTCTTTCTGCAATTATAATAATTCAAAACTTTAAATGTTTAAGTATTGCTGTGCAGTGCTGGTTCCTGGTTCCTCAGGATCTGAGGCAGGGGAAGGCTTGTCAAGCACCATGGCAGCCCCTGCTGAGGTTGGCTGACTGTTGTGTAGGTTCTTCAAACTAGAATTTTGTTTCAGTTTAGAGGGAGAACTAGAGGAGAGTCCTGGTTTGTGGAAATTCATGAAACACTGATTAGCAATGAGATTGAAATATCTTCAATCCCTTGGCTGCTTCTGTGAAATATCTGCTCAATTCCTAAAGTATATGTTTGAGTCCTCAATATGGAAGTTTGCCTGAATACCTAGTATTCTAGATAAATTAGGGTTTCTTCAGCCTATTTTAATATGCAGTGTAGGTAGGTATGTTAAAAGAACTGGGAACAATGGAGAAAACTGAGGAGAAGAAAGTGTATCAGCTGGTGTTCTGTAAGTGAAATCATATTCCTCTGAGAGGACTTCCTGGATTTTTCAGCTCCATTTGGCTTGCAGTAGGTTTTTGTAAATGTCAGAATGTCTGTGAAAGCATTAACAGTTAATATGTGTAGCCTTGCTCTGTGGATTCAGAATTGAGTCTAGAAGTAGCCTTTGTTCCTCTGGAGCTGAAAGCTGATGTGGTCTTCAGCAGCCAGGAGCTGCTTCTCTTGGAGGTGTGTGTTTCACTCCATGTTCTGCAGATTTTGGCTTCACTGAAACTTTATTTAAAAATGAGACCTTAAACTCTGCGAAACTTGGGCTTTTCTGTGGCAACTACCAAGCCTTTGTTCTGCTTTGAAGCAACTTAAATTGTTACAGTTGTGTTGTGTGGGTGTAATGGTAATCTTGGATAAATGTTTTTTACGCACAGTATAAACCTTACTTGCTTTCACTGAGGTCAGAGTTTTTAATCCTTTCTTAGTTTCCGTGCAGCATCTTTATTAAATAACCATTTTCATACCCCTAATCAGTAGAATTCAATAAATCCATCTGCTGGAAGCATTTGTCCCTTTCAGCTCTGTATCCATTGGCTTTTCCCCCATGCAAGGGGTGAGCAGAGCTGTCCACGGTGAGGCAGCGCTGTGTGGGCTCTGCCCTGGCTCAGGCTGGGATCTCAGAGTTTCTGATTGTGTGAGGGAGTTGTTTCTACCTTCTTCCCCCCCTGTTCTGCCTCCCCAGCAGTGGCCATGTGTTGCAGCCTGAGCAGTTTTATTGTGCTGCTTGTTGAATTAATGCCTTCTCCTCCTCTCAGGGGTCACAGACCCGGTGGGACAGTGCAGATGTCAGTGTGCACAGCACAGGGCAGCCCTGGAGAGCTGTCCTGTTGGGAGCAGGGGTGATGGAGCCATGGAGTCAGCCTGGCAGCTGTGCTGCACCCACCCTGCTCCAGAGCACTCAGGGAATCGTTTTGGCAGCCATGAGCAGAAGCTTAACACAGTGGGATATTGAATCTGGTGGTGTTTTCTGACTCTGAGTGTTTTATGTTACAGGACTACAAAGCTGATGAAGATCCTGCATTATTCCAGTCAGTTAAGACGAAGAGAGGACCTCTGGGGCCAAACTGGAAGGTACTAGGAACTGTTGTTCCAGCCTCACAAAGTCTTTATCATCAGAAGAACAAAGTTCATGGTTCCTTCACAACTTGACTCAACTTCTTTTGAGGAACCAATTTCCTGTGGCCCAGCACATCCCCCATGTGCCACCTCAGTGACACCCCAGCAGCAGCACAGAGCTTGCCAGTACCCCCTGCCAGCCATCAGAATCTGTCCCAGGAGAGAATGGGCTGTGTGGGCCACACCAGAGGTCCCACAGGAATTGAGCAGCCCACTGCTGTGCCCTGGAGTGAATGACAGGGAGCCTGTCAGGAGCAGCCCCAATTTACTGATTAGAATGTTGTTTTTCTGGAATAATGCTTAGATTTCTATTTTATTATCATAACAAGATAGTTAAGTTTAATTTACTATAAATTAATTATCATATTTATAATTCTAATGCACTGATTAGAATTATAATTTCTAAAAATTATACTTCTGAAGTAATTAAACTTTATTTCTATTACCCCAAACAGAAGGAGTTAGCAACTGATGAGGAGTGTCCCAAAATGTGTGCTTACAAATTGGTGACCATCAAATTTAAGTGGTGGGGATTGCAGAACAAAGTTGAAAACTTTATACAAAAGGTGAGTATTTCTGCCTTTTGGGGCTGTGTTGATGTGGGGGTTTGAGCAAGAGCAGTGGTGCAGTTTCCTATTGCTTATAGCCAGGGTATTCCTGTCCATTTCCCCAGCCAGTCAAACCCTTTGTGTCTTGGTTTGCTGCAGGTGGGGCTTCACTAGTAGTACCAGAACAATTCTCTAGAGAAAAAAAAGTCTTCTGGAAGTGGCTGTTCTGGTTTGGCTGCTGCCATTTTGGAGCTGGAGCAGATTTTAATAACATTCTTCATAATTCTCAAGTAATGTGAATGGCTGAACTTTAATGAAACTCTTTTTTTGACAGTGAAATTTGTTCATTTTTTTTCCATGTTAAAGCATTTGAGAAATGAGGTGAATTTAAGTTGGATCCAGGGGTGTGAGGTGGCTGAATCTGTAACAGTGTGAAGCAGCAATCACTTGAAGATTTTAACTCTTCAAACTGAGCAGCTGCTATCACTTCACCAGCCTCTAGCAAGTCCTACCTGTGATCTAATGTTTGTTTATCTTCTTAAAGCAAGAAAAAAGGATATTTACCAACTTCCACCGCCAGCTGTTCTGTTGGATTGACAGATGGATTGAACTGACTATGGAGGACATCAGGAGAATGGAGGATGAAACCCAGAAGGAGCTGGAAGCGGTAAGAAAGCTTTTTTTTTTTTAAGGCTCAGATGTGCTACAGATTTATCTGTGCAGAAACTGAGGCAAGCTGTGTGATGTCCATGCCTGTGTGTGTGTTTGGGCAATTGCTGGTGGGCACTGTGGCCCCTTGGGTGCAGCCCCATGTGCTTCAAGCTCCTGCATTTGGAGCTGTCACGCTGGAAGTGGCTGTAATGTGAGTACCTCTGATGTCATTAGATGCAGGATGTCTGTCCTGACTACCTCTGTGTTTATGGCACCACACCCATTGCACAAAGTCCCATTCAAGGCCCTTTTGTCACTTGGTGGTTGGAGCTCAAAGCTGTCTCTGTCCTGTTCCATCACATGTCTTGCTTTGTTTCGTTTCTGGTCATCACTAGATCTGATTACTTTTTCTCTTCAAGCATGTTTTCGAGCAAGTTTGTGTCACCTGTCAGCTGTTCCACTTCTGATTAGCACACCAAACCAAAGTTTTACTTCCAAAAAGAAAGTCAGTAAAATCAGCTGAGACTGTGTCAGTTTTCCTGCTTCAGTGGCTGTGAGGACCAGATCTGTGTGGCCTGGTGTATCATGGGCTGATGTCTGGGAGAAAATTTAGGGCATTGTCACTGCTCTTTCCATTCAGATGTAGAGGACCACCATAGGCTGGGAAGGATGCCTTCTTCTGTAGAGTCTTTCTAGAACATAGCCTTTGACATGAACTTTTCCCATGTTAAATCCCACTGGCATTTTGCAGCTTTTTTGCAGTTCTTGGATTTGCAGTTGTATTTCCTTCCCATTTTGACAATTGCTTCATGCCCCAAACCCACTCAGTTTACCCAGACAGTTCCAGTGTCTTGGTTTTTCCAAGGCACAATGTGTCTTCAGCTACAACTTGCTGTTTGCATGGTTTGACCCATTCCAGACACCTCTAATCTGGTTGCCTGAGGCTTCAGACCAGCTGTGGACACATTCTGTGGTCTGTGCCTGGTGCATCTTTGCTGTTGGTACCAAACCAGCTGCAGCTCCTCCCTCCCCACTCATGTTCTGCAGGGACTTTCCAAACAGTGTGGAACAGCCTGTGTTGGGATGTTTCCTGGGTTTGGAAGAAGTATTTCTTCTTGGTCCTGTGCTGAGCTGTAGCACCAAATGCTCTTTTCTCATAAGCTGAAGGGTTTGGGTCAGCAGCCCCAGAATGCACTTTGGACAAGGTTGATGTTCACTCACTCTTGCAAATCTTTTGCTCTCTTATGGACATTTGGGTATTTTTAGCCGTTGTTCTATCAAATCACAGGGGTTTCTTCTTGAATTCTATTTTATGCCTGATCCTGTTCCTAGAGCCACCTGTTCCCAGGTGTCTGTGAAGTAAGGAAGCATTAACAGCTGTCCTCTCTAAACTGATTTTTGCCAGAAGGGTTCCCTTTTGCACATCCATAGTTCTTCATTTGGACTGAAGTAGACTTTATCCATTTTCCCTGAGCAAGGGTAGTAGTGGCAGTGAGGAGTGCACACCAGAGATGTGCTAGAGAGAGGCAGCAGAACCTGACACACCCATGTGCATGATGAAATTGTTCCTTTGTGTTCTGTGGATGTTTTGTTTCACAATTCTCACTGGTAAGTAGCTCCTTTTAAATTTTTTTTCCAAAATATTTGCTGCTCTTTTAGTTCTCACCTTAAGTCAAACCCAGCTCACATTTGTCTCTGGGTGTAACATCTATCCTCATTCTTAAACATCAAATGTACTTACTTAATATTTTCTCATTTTGCAAAGGCAAATTGTTTTTTGCAAATAGCTTGCTGTGTAAGATGTTAGTGTCAGGAATTTGTGTATTTTTTAAAAAGTTGGGTTGTTTTGGTTATTTTTTTTTTAAACAAGATAAATGTGTGATGTTACACTAACCCAGATTTCTGTGGATATTGTGAAATGTGAGAGGAGTGGGGACCTGCTGTCTTGGGGTTTTTTCAGTTGTTGCAGGAGGGGTATCTACAAACACCTGCAAACGATGTAATTTCCATGGCTTTGTGGTGCAGTGCGTTATTGGATAACCTAAGGGCAAAAATGTCACTGCCAAATAATATCAGTGCTAGTTTTATCTAAAATAATTTGTCATCTGGTTTCATATTCAACTACTCCATCCACTGTGCTCACCAGTAAGTGCCATTACATCCCCAGTACACCACAAAGAGTGTTTTATGGCCAGGACCTCTGGGAAGTGAGTGCTCAGGGATGATGTGCTCAGTGTGACACAGATGCCCCTGTCCCTGCAGAGTGGTCAGGAATGGACAGGGCTGCCCTAGGCAGTTCTGTGATGCTGAGAGCCAAACCAGGCACAAAGCAGGGCTGGCAGTGCATGTTCTTTCCCACACAGTGTCCTGGTACTCTTCCCCTTCTCATGAACACCCTTTCTTCCTTCTGCTCCGAGCTGATCTTTATCTGGATTCTGTGCACATTCCAGTTCTTTTGTTGCTCCTGTGCTTCATCTTCAGTCGATTTTTATAGTCAGGATCTCTGCTTTTGTTACTTTCTGTTTACTCTCTGAATCCTCATCAGTGTTCTTCCAGAGTTCCTCTGTCCCAGTCCATCTTTTTCTCACTGTTTATGTTTCACTTGGTGGATTCTGTCTCTGGCTGCTGGAGATGAGAAGCACCTCTGCTCCATGAAACATGCATCAGCTCACTGCAGAGTAGGAAAGCATCTGGTCCAGCCAAAGCCCTGTGACCAACCTCTCTCATGCCACACTGGGTATCCTGAGCAGTGATTCCATGCTGGAGCATCGTGGGCTTGGTAAAAATTCAAGCGCCATTGTTTACGGCTGCTCTCCAGTTCCCAGGTCTCCTTGCCAAAAAGAAATACCATGCCATAGCCAAACCCCCTGAGCTGTAGCTGGTCCTGGCCCTGGCCAGGGAGAAGCAGATCCTGGCCCTGCAGGTCATTCCTTCTCTCATACTAACCACGGCGCGGCAGGTTCTGTGTGTGGAGCTCACGTTTTATTTCACTTCAGATGCGTAAGAAGGGTTCCGTTCGAGGCACTTTGGCTGCGGACGTCTAGAGGAGTTCTCTGTAGGTTCTGAGGCAAAGCAAGCTGTGTAAGTCAACTGCTGGATGGAAAAGGAGGAGAGGGATTAATGTTCTTTTGGATGGGAATTGCTAGCAGAAATCATCTTAATGTCCACATGACCCATGTGGGCCTTACCTTCCTCCTGCTCGGTGTGGTGACCAGCAGGTGGGACTGACCCACGGTGTCCAGGACACACCAGATGGGCGCTGATGCAGGCACTGAGGCTGGGAGCAGATTGCTGCAGTGTTGGCCACCTGCCCTGGTGCCTGCTGCTCACCCAGTGCAGGCAGCCGAGGTGTGGGATGTGCTGCTGTGGCCCTGGCGCCCGCCCCTTCTGGGCAGCAGACACGCCAGCATCGCTTCGCTGCACACGCAGTAGCAAAGTGATCTGTGGCCTTGGTCCACGTCACTTAGGGAGGCTGTGGAGCATCACCTTCCAAACACGTTCAGTTCTTGAAATCCAGTTCCACCCAGTCTTTATAGACACTGAAGCGTGTCGGAGCTGTTGGTGCGGGAGCAGCTTCTCCAGGAGTTACAGGAGTTAAAGGGCTGCTGTTCCTCACAGGGACGGTAACATCCCAGCCCGAGGGTGCCAATCCCGCTGCTGTGTGCGGGCTCCCCAGTGCAGGGAGCTGCTCCCACCCCTGGGGGCAGGCCCTACCCAAGGGCAGCTCCCACTGAGATTCCCTCAGGAGCCGGCATTGCTTTGGTGCTGTTCTGAGGCCCTGTCCTGCTTTTCCCTGCAGATAATCTCCCTGCCTGTTTGGAGCTCTGTCTGGAGAAGCTGCTAATGCAGAAATTTCTCTTCCTCTCTCCACAGCTGCGTAACCAAGGCCAAGTGAGAGGAACGAGTGCTGCCAATGACGAGTGAGGCCGGACGGACGCCGGTGCCGGATCTTGGCTGTGTGTGTGGGTGCATGACTCTGTATATAACTACACACACACATGCAGACAGAAGGGGTGGTTACAGTGTCTCCGGGTGCTATACCTGTCCTAGCAAAGATCCCAAGGAAACTGCTTTCATTATGTATACCCCAAGCAAATAAAAAATCAACTGAGTAGTGTCATTTAAAGGATGAATTTTGCTAACTGGTATGTTCATGAATGTCAATACTGGACCAATTTTTGCCCTACTTGTTTCCTCTCCTGTCCAAGTCACTCTGCTCTAACTTGCCCATCTCTCATTGTAAAGGAACACTCAAACAAGTTAATTTCAGTTTTATGTCTTCCCTATGTGATGAGTTTTTGGAATAGGAACAATGAATGTATTTATAGCTATTTATTTCTGGATTGTCATTATCCTCTAGTCAAATCAGAAAAAAAAAATTTCTATTAGTGGAAATTGGAAGACTTTTACTGTTGAATAAGTTTAACCCAAACTTTACCCACTCACTGATTTAAAAGAAAAAAATCATGTTTTATTGGACTTTTGTACATTGAAATGCTAACAGTTTTCTTCATTAAAATTGGCAAGATTAAGGAAAAATGGCTTGTGATTTATAAAGTAATTTGCAACTTGAAATTTTCCAGAAGCTGCTTTTTAGGCAAATACACTACAGTACCTGTAGAGCATTTTCCAGTGTATCTTAGGCTGGGCAGTGAGGACAGGGTTAGCCCTTCCCTCCAGAAATACTCCTGCCAGTGCAGTGGCTGTTTTCCAGAGCTTCCCTTTGGAAGCCATGCAAGCATTTTGGATTTCACACACAGCAATGGATTAAAATTGTGATTTTAGCTGTTTTAATGTTGGAAATACACTTTGGGAGATGTAGACTTTCAGATATGATGACAGTTTCAGTTGTAGCCCCTGACATGTTTCCCTGCTGTCTGTGAGAGAGTGATGTGTGAGAGCCCCTGGGATAACAAAAACTCCATAGGGAAAAGGTGTTCAGCATGTTTAAGGAACTATTCAGAGCACATAACAGGGGGACATTATCCTAATGCTTGTCAGATCAAAGAAAAAGTATTTTTAAAAGCACTAGTTAGATAAAGATCTGTTAATGCCTGGTTTCCTCCCAGCACCCTTGGCAGGGCAAACCTTGCCTGACTCCCTAGGAGGGATCTGATTTCTGTTACCATCAGTGACAAAACATTCCTGCACTGGCAGCATGGGCCAGGTGTGCTGTGCACCTTGTCCTGGTGTCACTGGCACTGCCACACCTGCCCAGCACCGGTGCCTCAGCTGAGTGCTGCACTCCCCCACCCTCCAGCCCCACAGTAACGTGTTTGGTTTCCTTTCTGGGTTAGTTCAGTGGTTATTTGTCCTGTACCACCAGGAGGTTGGGTTGGTAAATGCAGAGAATGGCACACACACAGTTTGAAGTCCCCCTGAAACCCAAGGGCTCAGGTCTCCTCCTCAGTGCTGGAGTTCGTGTCCTGCCATTGTTAATGTGTTACAACGCAGAGGGAAAGAGGCTCTGTGACTTCCATGGATTTGGACTAGTTGTGAAAATTTGAGAGAATCTTGTAGTGAATGTACAATGTTTAGTTTCCTTTGGCAGTCTCTGGTGCGACTGACAAGTAAAGCAGGCAATGAAATTTAATTAAATAAATTTGATCATAAAAAGCTCTGTCTCTTATCTCAGGCACTCGCATTTTGCTCCTGAGCTGGTGTTTGGGGTCCCAAAGGCTGCTCTCACCTGGGCACTCGGGGTTTGGTTTGGGATTCCAGGCTGAGTAGCACCTTTGATGCTCCTGAGCAGGGAGGACTCTGTGCTGGGCTGGCAGAGGTGGGAGCGGGCAGGAGGAGGGGCTGCAGATAGGAGGTGCCTCCCATGGGGCACCAGAGGTGCTGAGGGGCTTCTGGTGTCCCTCCCCGGCTGGTCCATTCCTGGGGTGGCTGAGCCACCCTCAGTGCTGGCTCTGGGGCAGGGCTCTGCCTGCTCAGGTTGTGCCATCACCTGCTGCAAATGAAGGCTCGTACAGCTCCTTTGGGAAATGCAGAGTTGAATTCTGTCTTTACTACCAGCTTGTTTAGCTTCCAGATGGTGAACCTACAGGAAGCAGTGGAAGTGTAACGTAGTTTTGATATAATGGATATGTAAACGTGATAGTTACTCACTGCAATAGACTGCTGTGAACCATATTCCAGCAGTAACCTTTGAAATCCATCACTTGGCTTTACACAAGTGTGATCTAAAGGGGATATGCAAGGAATTTTCTTTTTTTCTTGAGGATTTTTAATCACTGAAGAAGGAGAATGATTTCTGTCTTTTACCTTTACATGTAGACTGAGAAATGTCAGGGAAAAAAATCTGCTGAGATTTTGGGTCTCTTGGGATTTTCCACTCTCAGGCCTTTCTAAATACTCTGAGCAGTCTGAAAATGTCCCATAAGACAATTTAGTCTGCATTTCCAAGCCTCAGTCGATTCAGCCGTGTTTAGGAGCTACATCATGTCCTTGAAATGTGGTGCTGTGGTTTTATGGCAAAATCCGAGGCACAAGGCTGTTGCTGTGGTTTTTATTCAGTTGATGCAATTCAAGAGTCTTCTCCATTGAATTGTGTCTTGATAAAGTCATTGGGAAAAGATTTTCTTTGAAGTTTTGTAATTTTTAATGAAAGACTTTCTACTTGCTTGAATTGATATGGAAAATGAATTTTAATCAAGAGCATATAATTGTCAGGAAGCAGAGATTATCCAGAGTGATGGCTGCAGACATTCCATTCCTGGGAGCCTCCTCTTCCTTGTTGCCTGCTGTGGGCAGAATTCAGTGTGCAAACCCTACCACAAACAATGTTCTGGCATGCACAGTAGCTTCAAAGATTATAATGATAATGTGTCAAGCCCAGATTTTGGAGGCAGATTTTCAATTGCTTCCACCTGAGGCATCACCTGAATGAGGACCCTTAATGTGAGTTAAGTGAAATCCTGCATTGCTGTCCCTGTCTCCTCAGCAGGGGCTATTTGAGGTCCTGGCAGTAGAGCCAGGAGGGTGCCTGGTGGGAGGGGATGTGGTTTCTTTGCAGTGCTCCTGAAGACAGTGGCTGGATGTATTTCTGCCACTGCCCTGTGCCTTTTTTTTGCTGGTATGCTGGTACTTGTTCTGATACTTGTAGTCACTCTGTTCTGGTGCTCCTTTGGCCATTTTTGCTACTTAAGCTGTATTTTTTAAAAACCTCTCAGCAGGCACCAGCACAGCCCCAGATGTGCTGCTGTTACCCTTTAGGGACAATATCTGCTGTCTGTGCTTCAGAGCAGCCTTAGACTTCTCATTGCTATAAGAACAGTAAGCCCTAATTTAATTTTAAAACTTTATTCCTCAAGTTGGAGACATTATTTATTCCTTTAATTTTTCTCTCTAAAATTACATGGCTTTCTGATTTAGAATTGCATATCCAAGACACACAAAATATTAGAGGTATTTGTTGAACCTGTACTATAGAGCTTTTCCAATCCCAGCTAAAATCTTGATATGCTTATTTACCAAATTTCTGTTTTATAAACTTGGCTTTAGCACCCTCTAGAACAACACCTGATGCTGTTGCTTCTTTTACAAAAGGCTCTGTCTCCCTGTTTCTCACACAGAGACACAGTCCAAGGTAAATTAAAGGAATGTGATTATCAGGACTTCTGAAAAACCCAGTAGTCTCTGGCTAAACTGTACCATAAAAAGAACCGAGCTACACCAACATGGGAAGTCCCTGAAAAAGGCTGGAAGCAAAATGACCATAATTGAAATCTGAAAGCAGCAACTTCATAAAGAAGTAAGCGAAGAGGCGGCTCTTTGTAAATGATGATCTAAAAAGTGTTCTGGGTTGTGAGACCTCATTTCAAATGTATTCATTAAATAATATTTGAATCATTTAACAGTTTGAACTCTACTGCACTGCTAATATCTTCAGGGGATTTTTTTTTTCTTCAGTAACAAAGGTGCCTTTGTTCCCGCTCAGTGCTCGGGCTGTGCTTTGGATATTAGTTGGAAACCTGATCACCCGACATCACTCCGAGGCTGCGAGTACAATGTGAGTCGTCTGCAACCCGGATTAAATCAGGCCCTTTGTACAGATTCTGAGGGGCCGTGATGGTGGAGGAGCGATGCTTTTGGGCAGCAGGAGATTGTTAACCCTTTGTGCCTCTGGCGGGGAAATGGGAGGTTTTGGGGCAGGGGCAGCCGGACAAGCTGTGTGGAGCAGCCAGGAGTGCCGGAGAAATTCCTGCTGGAAAGCAAATAATTGTTTAAGTGGGACAGGTGAATTCTTGCTGCCAGACCTGGTGCTCGCTGCCTTGGGATGCCTCTTCACTACCGTGTGTGGGCTGGCACACTTGAATTAAATTGGAAAAGTCGGGTCTGTGAGCCAAGGTTCACCAGTGGCTCAGAAACGCACGTCATGCTGTTAAACCTTATGAAGAAACACGATAAATAATAAACACAGCAGCAGCTTTGTTTACCTGGTGGCAATAAAATTCTGGGCCCCACGGTCTGGAGCGTCCCGGTCGCTGCAGGACCTGTTCTCCAGCAGAGCCAGCGTGTCCCCCGGGCAAGGCTGGAATGGGATGGATGGATGGATGGATGGATGGATGGATGGATGGATGGATGGATGGATGGATGGATGGCAGCGGTCAGCAGGGGACAGCGGCTTGCGGGGGATGCTCAGACACGCAGCCCTGGGGGAGTTCTCCAGGAGAAGCCAACCCGGTCCCCAGTGGGACCTCCTGAGAACTGTGACTCCCAAACCCACCCCAGCACTGTCCTGACATCGGCGTGTGGCATCCCAGGGGATGGCAGGATGAGGAGAGGAAGCACCAGGAGTGCTCTCCTGAAGCTAATACTTAGGGGAAATTAAGTCATCAGGACTTTATAAACACCCTCTGGCTCTCTCCTTTCACAGTAATTCAATTTATAAGATGATGAAAAATGAATTAACTTTGGTGGTTTTCTGGCATCACCCACAGTGAGCCAGACTTTCCAGATGCTCAAAGATTGTTCTTGCTCCACCACGTTTACATAAATTCCCACCTGGTTCAAGTTTAGGGAAACAGCAGAACAAAGTTGGTCACACAAACTCCACCATAAAACACTGAGGAGAGTTAAACACCGATTAGCCATAGAGAGAGGTGCCATTTTGTTATTTATGTTTCACTGAGCTATTTTAGGAAACATAAAACTTTTACTGTTCCTGTAGCCAAACTAATTCATTACTCTATTTCTGTTGGGCTGCATACATATATATATATATATATATAGGTTTGCTGTGTATATATACATACACACACACACATATAAATATATATTTTATTTTTTTTTTTATAATATCTTCTTCCCGAGGAAATGTCTGATCCTACACATGTGTTTTAGAGATGGGAATTTAAAGGGAAAAAATAAAAGTCCAAGAAGTGAACTGTGCTATGGACATGAAAAAGTTGCTTTAGGGTTTTCTATGTTTTTATTAATGGACACTCTAAGTGTTGTATGATTTTAGCACTGTCCTGTTTTTTAATTATTCAAATTATATGTTCAATCAAAACATATTTTTGGTGTTCATTATATGTACACCAAAGCGCCCCATGTGCTGTAAGAGTTTTCACCTAAGTGGCATAAAGGGCACACAATATATTAAATTGGCAAAAAAAAAAAAGCTGTTTGCAGCAAGGAAAAGTCTACTGATATTGTGAAAATATCATGAAACATACTGAGGAACCTGTAAACCCAAACAAGAAAAATACACAGCTTGAAGCTGCAGTCATGTAAAGGAACTAAAACCAACTGAACCAACCTTGCAGAAGAACCAAACAGGAAAATCCCTCTGAAGGGCTGAGTTCTGAAATTGTTGTTTAACCCTATGGGAAATGACTGAGGTGGTTTTAGTCCCTTAACTCTGTTTATTCAGCTATGCATTTTTAAAAATGGGAAGAAGTAAAGTGTCTGAAGGAATTTGGTTCAATCTTTCCAGAAACCACATTGTTGGTAAAACTAAGCATGAAATTCTTACACTGGCAAGGTGAACTTCCCGGAAACCGAATGCAAATCAGGTTTTGCACATGAAATTGTCTTTAATCTCAATTACAAACCAAGTCACCTCCAGACACTCAGGCAGGGAAGGACAAGGCGTGGCAGAGGTCAGATTGCTGGAAATCCCTACATGTTTTTTTTTTAGCTGGTGCCTCCCAACTCAGCAGTGTGACTGTGCTGGCAGCAAATCCCTCTGAGGCACCATGTGCAGAGCAGGTCTGCCAGCTCTGGGCACAGCCTGAGCCATGCTGGGCCCTGTGACCTGCCCAGAGCCCTTCCACACCCAAAAACGCTTCTGTTCTCAGGAGCTCACTATCCCCTGTGGAGCAGCACCTTCCCTCGGGAGCTGGCTCTGCGCTCCCTGCACTCACAAGCTCACCAAATGATTTTATACATTTGCCTCCTGTGTCCCTTCCACCACCACGTTCGCTGTAGTTTGAGAGACAGGAGATACAACAGTTTCTCTAAACTGTACCAGGCAGAAATGCTGAAAACTTCCCTGAAAATGTCAGCTGCCAGATTTGGAGACCTGTCCTTCAAAATATTACAATTCCTTTCACGGAATATCCCTGCTAGGAAGGGAAACCCCTGCAAAGAGAAGACCTTCAGCTCTTTTGTGACGTGGCTGTTGGGAGCCTCTGCTCCAGGGACAGGCCCCATCTCTGGAGCCTGTGTGACACGGAGCAGGCGCTGGTGGCACCACAGAGGACAAGGGAGTGCCTACAACCTGGAGCTGCCCTAAAGACAGAACACCTTTGGAGAGCTGGGAGGGCAAACACCGCAGAGAAGTGAGCTTGGGTTCCCTCCATGTCAGTGTTTAAGAGGTTCTTGCTAAGGGCTGGCTGAGCTAAAGTGTCTCGAGCATATGGGCTTATTTTGTGCAGTTTCTGTGGTGGTTTCTTCGTTAGATTTTCAGTGGTAATGAGCCCACACAGTAGATTGCTGCAGGGAGAAAAAATCATTCTGAATAGGTTTGCTGAATAATTATGAACTCAGCTGAACTCTTACATTTGCTTACTAATTGTATGGTCCGTGATGTTTTATGTATGATGCATTCATTTTGTTAAAAAGGAATTTTTTTTTCTTTTTTTTGCTGAGCAGCAACTTTTCTCAGTGCAAGTTAAACTGACACAGTGGAAAGAACTGGATTTAAGTCTGATGAATTGATGTTGTTTCAATTATTTTTTTAAAAACATCAGTCCCACTATTTGGTTTTCAGAACTTGCAATATGAAACCCAAAATTGTGCTATTGTCTGGAGAGTTGAAATAAATGAATCCCCTCAACTTTGGATTTGGCAGGCACAATTACTATTGTTAATTTAGAAAATAATCCCCAGCAGCTACAACTATTTAAATAATGCCTTTCCTTGCTTCCCCCAAGATGACCAAAACGCCAAGAATGAAAGTAAAAATATGTTTTATAAAACACACTTTTCACTGCTTGGTCTGATTAAGAGTCTTCCTTCTCCTTGGCTGGGGACTGCGACCCTTTGTGACACAAGTGACCTGGCAGTGCTGGCCACAGCCCAGGGCCACGCTGCCATCAGCGCTCCCAGCCCCGTGCAGGACACCAGGAGCTGTGGGGCAGGTTGGCAGCCCCAGAGCACATCTCAGGTTAGAAATGAGCTGGGCCACCTTCCCATACGCACACCACGGGCCAGCAGAACTCTGCAGCTGGTATCCGACCTTGCCATTCCAAGCAGCTCACTGTTTTTATTGTCAGAATACTTAGGCTGAGATTATTTCCATGTTTGCCATTGTCCAGCTATAGACACCAAAGTCCGCAGAAGGAGTGGTGCTGGGCGAGCTGGCCCAAGCCATGGGTGGGGATGAGATCTCCCTCTCCAGCGAGACTTCTCCCTCTTCCCTCTCCTCCTCATGCAGGAGGCTGCGGTGGCTCCGGAGGGAGCGGGGCTGAGCCCTGGTGCGGCGCACGGACTCGAGGTCCGGGGTGCAGCCCCCGGGATGACATCGCCGCTGGGCTCAGGGCCGTTCTGTGCCCATGGGGAGGAGAGGCTCGGGAGGCAGCGGCGACATCCCGGGGCGGTGGGCTGCCCGCCCAGGGCCCCCAGAAAAGCGGCAGGACGGGCCGGGAAAGGGAGTGGCGGCGGCGCCGGTGCCCCAGGACGGATCCGAGCA